ATATGGAAATTTGTTTAAATTGCAACCATATTGTGAATACACAACTCATAATTTGGCCATGGGAATGAAAGCTTCTCGAGTTGAAATGTAAAATAGATTGTTTTTCCATAATCCAAATGAAATGGTTGTCCTAATTTATCAGCTGCAATCAGTCCCTTGCACAGGAATTTTCTGGTTATTAGATATTTGACTTCTGATAGATGTATGTATTGATCTATACAGCAAACATTAATGAACCAACGTATTGATATATAATATTTGGGCCCTCCAGAATTCAACTAGGGGATATTTGACAACAATATACCATTAAGATAAAGAATACAAGATTTGATTCAAGGAGCGAAACCCAGTAAGAAAGAGGAGGTTGAGGAAGAAGGTGGTGGAAGCAGGCCTCCAATGCTGCCCGCTTCATTGCCCCCCTTACCTCCCCACACAAGTCAATGCTCAGTTCGTAACCTGTTTTCTAATATTGCCAACAATTTCACTGTTTTGTTTTCCTATTAACATTTATATTTGCATGAGACCACCATCTTCACTTAAAACAGCATCTGACTTTGATTAATCGCCTGGGATCTACTTGCCAAAAATTGGTGAAAGCAAAGAACAGAGCAAGAAGTAAAACCAAATAACGGTGCGAAAAATAGAAAGAAAAGGACACCCAAGGCCTACCATATATTTCACATAAAATACATAAGCTGCAGGTGTACAACAAACTGCTGACCTGACAGTTTTAATTATCAGTGGCAATAAAATACAATAACCGATACACAATTCCAGTTAGGATTCCTTCTTATGAACATGTTGCCGCTTTGGTAGTTTGTGGTGGATCCTTGGGAACAATAGGTCATGAAGTTGTCTCTCAGCACTATACTCCGAAGTTGCCTGCAAATATAATTCAAAGAAAAGTTTTAGAGAGGAAATTTCTCATGGGCACTGATTGCATTTTGAAATTCTGTCCCCATATATATTTCAGATATATAGGATTACGGTTCATAAGATTCTAGGAAACTTGAATAAAAAAGGATTCTAGGAAACCCTTGCTAGATAATAACAAAAGTCACGAAATGAACTTCAGATCCATGATGACAAATAAATAGGATTATGATGCAATCTATTGGTCATCATCATCATCATCATCCAAGCCTTATCCCAACTATGTGGGGTTGGCTATGATGCAATCTATTGGTCCTGACTCCTGACTTTATATTCCAGTCATGGATGTGGACATGGTTTCAGGTTGAACTATAGAGGCCCAGGTCATAAAGCACCTTGTATAAAGTTCAGAGAACTCAGATGAGTCTCGACCAACAAGTTAGAGGACTCTTCCAAGTTAGTTGCAAGGTTGGTTGTCATTAACATAAAGTGCAACTTGTATATATCCCATGTTAATGAACACCAGCAGCTTTAGCATTTGGCTAGAGGACTCTTTGATGATTTTATCAGCATATCAGGGACCTCAAGTGAGAAAAAAAAACATTTCAATTATATTTTGGATATTTCATGATTTTATCAGCATATCAGGGACCTCAAGTGAACAAAAAAAACTTCAATTATATTTTGGATATTTCATGATTTTAACAGCATATCAGGGACTTCAAGTGAAGAAAAACTTCAATTACATTTTAGATAAAAGTTGATTGCCAAAACATACCCTTGACTTAAACGCAAACCGCAATGTTTGGACTTGTGTTCCTGAGCAAACCCTCAAATCAAAACCAAGACTATCTACACCAACAAGCATTGCCTCCTGTATCAAGTTGTGGAAAAATTTAATATCTGAGCTATCTATTCAGAAATTTCATGCATCTAGATTCTACATAGTAACCCTGGGAAATTTTTTGAAGGCATAGATGCAATTTCCCCATGATACATGCTATTATATGACCCAAAGCCAAAGGTTGATATGTATACCATAATCATTATTTGTGGTTCAAAATATAATATTTTTTATGAGTGGTTCAAAATATAATATATTTACAGAAATTAATCTCATCCTGAAATATAAAAGGGCAGACCAGTGCATGGGGCTCCCACCAATGCGGGGTTTGGGGAGGGACAGATGTACGCAGCCTTACCCCTGCACATACAGAGAGGCTGTTTCCAAGATTTGAACCCTGGTCACCCAGGTTGCAAAGGAGCAACCGAACCGTTGCACCAAGGCCCACCCTCAATCTCGTCCTGAAATACACAAATGATAAAATCCTATTTTACACATTTCAGTCTGTCAATCCTCTGTAAAAAAAAAAAAAAGTGATGGATCCACATTAATCATTTGAACATCTTAACTGCCTCATAGAATCAATTGAACCATGCCTTGCAGCCAATATGTTGCTCATTATCGAAGTTCCCACAAAGCAGCTAAAAGTACAACATCATGGAGTTATGATTAGGAGCTTATACCTTGTTACAAGGACAAAAATCTCCAGTAACATAAGTTTGATACAAAAGAGATCTTGAAGAATGGGCGAATGGTCTTAATTGGGTCTGAACAGGTAAAACCAATCCTGACCACTTTATAGTCAGGACTTAGGCAGATCCAGAGCTATATAATAAGGTTTGATCGGCCAGGGCCTGTTGGGTTTTCCCAGATCTTTGTTAGACCTACATAGAGTTGCTTAAAGGCCAAAAAGATACTTTCAAGGGAGTATCATGTTATCAGTTGTTTTGATTTCTGGGGACATGCTACCCCCCATTCTGTGTAGCCCCATTTCCTGGTTTATAAAAAAAAAGGGAGTATTTCCCATATAGACAGAGAAATGAGAGAATAAATAAATTGGCAGATACTGGAGTTAGCTATAACTCTGAAACTTTTGTTTTATGTGGTATGGGTTTCAGTTCAGAATAAGATTCTTGTTATGCAACTTCTCAGTTCAGAAGGATATGGGATAAATTGGTAGACCTGTTAATGATTGGGTATGACTAGAGGTAAAACTGTAAAAGCACACAATTTACATGATTAAACTTTACAGTCTAATTTGCGGGCTGGAAGGGGGAGCTATCATGACTCATGAGTTAAATTGGAAGGCCCAAATCAAATGCCATATGGTTCTCTTGTGGTCCCAAAGGGACTCACCAAAACCATGTGGCCACTGCATGGACACCATTTGTACCCTTTCCTGCATGAGATAAGAATTTTCCACAGTTTCTGTTTTCAAAGGTTATATTTAACTTAACCTTAATAAAGTTATATTTAACTCCTTTTTTTATTTTTTTTTTAATTTAAGTTGTGATAAGATTTTGTGATCTTGTATATATTAAATATTTTGTCAAGTAATAGGGAACCTGCAATACTGGCATGTAGTGGATATTTTATCCCCCTAGTGCACTGTTGTAATTAACAACAAATTATTCTATTCAGATCTAAAATATATTTAACTAAGTAAAGGTTTCAGAAAGCATGAAGTACAGATACATGGGTTCTTTGGAAATAGCATCAAGTAGACTCAAATAGGGGGACAGAGCTCCCTGAATCCTATCATTCAGGCATTAATTAGGAAACTTGTTGCATGGCCCAGTTCCACTCTAAATTTCTGCTCAAGACCAACAATCTTAAAAAGATGTCCATGTTACATTCAGTTTCTAAATTGAATTGGTTGTGGGTGAACTTAAATAGCCCCATACTTAATTATTTTTAAAAATTCAAAAAAAAAACACAAAATTCTAAAGGGGTTAAAGAAGCAAGAGAGAGTAGGCTGAGGTGGACAACTGCATTTAGAGTATAGTATAGATAGCAATAACCCCCCAAACTTCTTACCAACCAAAAACTGCCCCATCCATCAACCCAGGAGTTTTCACACACACCCACGCTCAACTTGTGCTGCACTTCTTCACCTACCCTAGAAACAGGGAAATTGATATCCTAGAAAACTACCTTTAACTGGATAAGGACTACAAATGGGTTGGCAGATGTTTTGGCAAAGCAATGGGTTGACAGGCCTAGTTTATTTTGGACAAAGCTGTAATCTGATGTATTTTGGTGCTTCTATGCAACTTGGATGTGAAATTTGGGGATGACATTCTGGTCAGCAAGTTGTATTAACTACTTCTTTAATTAAATTTAATGTAATTTATTTTTGGCTGATCAAAGAAAAAAGAAAAAAGAACAGAGGTTGAACCCAAGCACTCCTCTATCTTCTTCCAATACTCTCTTTGTTATACTCCCTTAAATTACTCTTCCTAGCTTTTACATCTCCATACTGGACCTCTAATCCCATTTCATTGCAGTCACATTCTGATTCCTCCAATCTATAAAAAAAGGTTCCTCAGCTTGACCATCCCCATCCATAAATAGTCATTACTAAATACCTTATATTATAGATAATTGGGACTGTAATACTAAGTGGGTAAAGAATTTATAGACACTAGATAGAATTTCCTGGTTTTTGTTGAAATCCCCCTCCCCCTAGAGTCCAAGGTGATACAATTTAAAGCTCACCATGTATCAACACCCCAAAACAAATGAAATAGCTGAAAGATTGGTTTTAACATCCAAATAATGTAGTAACATCCGCCTCCAACTCCCAGGGGGCACAAGCAAATGGTACTTCTGCATAGATTCATTCCAATGATTTCTACATGATATATATAAACTTACTCCAAAGCATGAAAAGTGGTACCTCTACTTGAATATTCTTCCTTCTCCAGCAGAGAGATTTGAGGGCTTTTGTGACCTTTTCCCCACCAGCTTTCAGGCTAGAAATAATTTTGGTGGCATAATGAGCAATAGCATCTGGCTTAGCTTTCTGAAAATCTTTTACGTCCACTGCAGTCTATCGAGAAGTACAACAATAAAATCTTTAGATCATTTGAAGATTGCATCCATGACATAGAAAGGCATGCCTTTAAGTTACAAGTTTGTCCAGAACTAAAAAACATATATGATGAATTAAAAACAATAATGGAACATCTGGAATCATCATAGGTACAAAGGAAACAAAATAACTGTTCCAAAAAGTAGGAATTGCAACAACCAAGAACGAGATCTTTCCATAATAGGATAATATAGAAAGCAAAAGGTAGACTCTAAAATATCAGTTTACTGAATGATTGTTCTGAGCCAAAAGCACAATAATTCAGGGAAGTGACATAACAAAAACCTTTTCTTGGAGGCTAGCTAGAACTCAATACTGATGGAACTATAGTTCTTTGATCTGGGGGTAGGAGTAGGGCTGCACATGAATCGGATTCAGCAAAATCTGAATCCAATCTGATAATTGAAATTAGAATCCTAACGAACTCGGATTGGATTCGGATTTAATCTGACTCCACTTTAATTTTGTAAAATACAAAAAAAAATAAAAAGATAGTTATTTTGTATTAATAAATTAATGTAATTATTTAAATATAACATACTGAAATTATTATATATATAAATTCATATAAAATATAATTTATAAAAATATATTTTTTATAATTTTTGTAGAGAACACTGATGTGGTCCCCACTGTGTTCGTATGACAGTAATACTTAGTTATGTTAGTTACTTCAGTTTGTTAGTTAGCAGTTATTTCAGACTTATGTGATATGTCCCGAAAATTTGACACGCAGTTCACAGACTTACAGCAGCATTCACACACTCGAACATCAGCAAAAGAGACTAGTATTCATTCAGCAGAAAACATTAACAGTTGGTCGGTTCTTCGAGAGACCGCCGGCTCTCCCAAACACTCACAATATTCTTTACTCAAAGAAAAACATACCACCCCCTACCCCTATCCCCCAAAGCCCCTTCTTATACTCTTCTGATAG